TCCTCCTCCCTTCTCCCCCGTCCTACACATGGTAGTGGTGGTTGAAAACTTGCCCATCACCTCTGCGTACCCCGCAGCTCGTGGCAGTGGGTGTCCCCGCGCGCCTCGGCCTTCGAGTGTCTCGCGGGCTCGCATCCCGCTCGCCGCAGCCTTCGCCGACACCGGCGCGTGAGCTGCCCGCGCTTGGTCGCGCGCAGGCTCCCCCGCTTCCAGCGTTCAGTGGAGGCCAGTCTACAAGAGGCCTTCCACATGAAGCCCAGCCCTGAGACCCCAGGACGTCCATGGATGTGTGGCGTGGGAGCGTCACGCTTTCCATGGAAAAGCCGTCGAAACCCAAGGAGCCCAGGGCACCCTGGAGGCAAGCAGGGTGCTTCTCGGCATGGGTCTCCACTGTAACGTGCCGCGCGGGCGGCCCATGTGAGCCTCCGCGTAAGGTCGCTATGCCATCTCGCGTGAGACCCGTTCTTGATCGCCGCCCGACTGGGGCTCGACCCGCGTGCAGCCGACGGGCCCCAGAGGCAGACGATTGAGGAGAAACGCCCAAATCGAAAACATCGTGCCGCCGGAGATCTGGCTTGCGGGTCCTGAATCGGGCCTCCAGGCGGCTGTTCGGGGCGATCCGGGCGCGCCTGGAACGTTCTCGACGAGGCGCAGCTGCTGGAAAGCATCTGGGGGCGATGAGACCTCCAGGGATTCAGGGAAGAAGCACGGGGACCAAGATGTCGCAGGAAGATGTCGATGCCGATCTTGGCCATGGTCCATGTCGGCCGTTGCCGACTCGCGAGGATGCTCCACGAGTGGACGCTGACCAGGATCGACGGTGACCAAGATCAGAACGACGCTCCCGCGCTTCCCTTCCCTTCCTTTCCTTCCCTGATGTCGGGCCTGTCCTCTACAGGAGGAATCTTCAAGAATAGTCAAAAATTGTCGGGGGACGATTTTTCTACCATTTTGGAAGATTTGTTTTGACAAGTTTGGAGTATGTTGTTGACTATTTTTGGTATCAGTCAGCGTTGACTCCAAATAGATAGGAGGACAGGAGGAGGACGAAATGAGGATGGGAGGAGGACGAAAGGAGGACGGGAGCAGGACGGGAGGAGCAACATCAAGCAAGCGCAAGCGGAAGCAAGCGGAAGCAAGCAACCGCATGCGAGCAATAACAAGCAAGCAAAAACCAGCGATCAAGTGCAAGCAAGCAAGGGCAAGCGAGAGCAAGCAAGCGAGTGCAAGCACGCAAGAGCAAGCAAGTGCAAGGAAAGCAAGAGCAAGCAAGCAAGCACGCAAGAGCAAGGACGCGCCATTGGAAATAGCTGGGGGGGCATTGGAAATAGGGGGGGGGGCATTGGAAAAAAGGAAGGGGGAGCGGGGTGCCATTGGACATAACGGGGGGGGCCACTGGGAAAGGGGGGGGGGAGGGGCTCATTGGACAAAATGGGGGGGGGGGTCTGTAAGACCAATTGCCCATGATGAGCCAGGACTCCTGTGGGGCAAGCCTGCTCAGAGCAGATCTCGTCCATAACCCCCCTGGGACTGCCCGCGCCGCGCGCCGCGGCGGGCAGGCCCAGCGCCCCCCCCAAGAGGGCCTCGCTGCCCAGGGCCGCTCTCGCGCGCAGCCTCCGGGGCCGCCCCCCGCGCGCCGCCGGCGGCGCGGCGCGCGGCCCTGCTGCTGCTGGCGGGCTGCGTGCGGCGGTCGCGCGCCGCCAGTGGCGCGGGCGCTCCGCAGAGGAGCTCCTTCAGGGCGGCGGGGGGGGGGCTGCCTCCTCCCTCCCTCCCCCCTCGGCCTGCTCCCGCTGCTCCCCCTCGCCTCCTCCTCCGTCCTCCCTTCTCCTCCCTCCACGTTCCTCCCTTCTCCTCCCCCCTTTCCTCCTCCCTCCCTCCCTCCCTCCCTCCCTCCCTCCCTCCTCCTCCTCCTCCTCCTCCTCCTCCTCCTCCTCCTCCTCCTCTTTTTCCTATTCCTCCTCCCCCTCTCCTTTCTGTTTTTCCCTCATTCCTCTCCTCTTTTGCCGACGGCGGGCATGTTTCCTCCAGGCAGTTGCAGATAACGCGGACCGAGGAGACCGAGTGGCGAGCCATTTGGGATCGAGGCGATGTGCAGCCAGCTTGGGGCCGGGTCTCAACATGCATACGTACGAGCATGCAGGACTGCTTCCCCAAGCAGATGACGGGCATCATTGGTTACAAGCAGCGTACGAGTCGGGGCCGAGAGCGCAGCGAGCTACGACCCCGAAAATACACGACGGGCAGCTGATAATTCGAAGGAGACGGATCCAACGAGTTTGGCAGGATCGAGCAGCAGTTGAAGTTGCTTTCCAGGCGCATGCAGGCCCTGAGGCACCAGCAGGTGTGGTCGGGAAAAAAAGGGCGGTTATATACGCTGGTGGATGAAATTCGTAAGGCGCAGCGAGGCAGACGCATGGCAGACATGTACAGATTGAGGCTCTGGCTATCAAGCACAGGCAGGTGACCCAAGAAACGTTTTCTTTTTCTCCACGGCAAGCTATGACGATCACGGAGGTGGAGAGTAAATTCTCTCTACCTCCTAAGGACGGAACGATGGCATGCACGCGTCTGAATTGGGAGTCTGGAGTATCTGACAGAAGCTTTTGCCGCGCGTGCATCAACATTTTGAGTTCGTGGAACTTGCTCGAGCTGGCCGTCAGGTCCAAGTCGGGTGCCTACGCAGAGCGCCGAAGAAACGCGCAGGGCCAGCATGGGGGGTTCTGGCATCTACCATCGCACTTACATTCTAGAGGTCTTGAACAGGCCTTGCAGCAATTTGTTGGCACTTATGCGGTTCGTAGGCTCGGTGCTGGTCACCACCATCTGCCCTCAGTTTTTTTGCTCAGTCGCAGCCGAAAGGCGTCAGATGGGGGCCAAGGTGCAGAGAGCGTTGCACTTCTTTGATGCTGATGGGATGTCGTATCTGGGGCACCTACAGATGGTATCGCGACGACCCGACCCCCCAGACTTTGCGCGCGGATGTCTTAATTAAGTGGCGTCGACGAGACGTTTGTGAGAGGGTTGCGAGAGAGTTGTCGTTGTCGGCGGCGGTTTGGCATTGCGGGGGGCGGGGAACTCAGTCGCACCCCCTCGAACTTCGACGGCGCACAGGCTTCCACCTGCGCCGAGCGCGAAACGCTCCGAGTACATCGCGCACAACGCGATCGATCCGAACGTGCATCATTTCTTAGTCAGACATTCGCCAGGGCGACGATGCACGCGACGCGCGTCGATGGCGAGATCGACTTCCCCTCCCGCCCGGGCACTAGCACGAGGCGCCCACTAGCAGCGGGGGGCCTCGTAGGCGTGGACCTGCCGTCGGTCGGCAAGTCGAACGGCCATCTGGCTGGCCAGGTCGGGAGGTGCACATGGTTGAGAGGCCCATCTGTCTCTGGGGGGCCTGGAGAGGTGGACGTCGGCATCGGGCTTCTCGTGGGTGGCGCCTCGCGCATGCGCGTTCGCGCGTGCAAACCTCAAGGCAAATACCTCGCACATTAATTTCATCGTGTAACAGGTAATTGGCACGAGCGCATGCAAGAGCGCGGGCATCATTAAACTGCCAGCGAGACGAACCACCTGATTAGCCAAGCAGGTAGAGAATCTTCGGCGGCCGCCAAGGAGCTCTCCAGGAACCGGCGTCTCCACGGCGATGTACTTGGGAAAGCGCGCAGATGGGGCCCGTCCTTAGCTTTGGCGGGGCGGCGGCCATCGGGCGACCCGTGGCGTCCGCATCTACGTCGCAGGCATTTGCGCACGTTGCTGTCTGCGTCGTGCGCGGCGCGGCTCTCGCGAGACGATTTCGCGACTGCGCTGGGCGCGATCGCTGCGAAGTAGCTCAGGTGCCTCGTGCGCGGCGAAGCGAAGCGACGATGTGAGCGGCGCTTGCGCGCGCAGCAATGAACGAACGCTTTCGTCCCAGGACATCCGCTGCGCAGCCGCCGAGCTGATGGCGCCGCGTCGACGGCGGCGGCAGGCAGTTGCGCGGCGGCCAGAGAACTGCGAGTAGCACCTCGCGGCCATTTCCGGCGCGACAGAGATTGGCGGGCAGCTTGGCCGCGCCCGCCCCGACCCAGACGGCCGCTTGAGTCATCGCAGCGCCGCGCGGGCGAGGCGGGCCCCTGCCCGAGGCCAAGGCGACCTCGAACGCAAGTGGCGGGGTCGAGGAAATGCCCGTCAGGCCTTTGCACGCGTTGACATATTCGTCGCGTCTTCCAAGTGCTAATGATAGGCGCGCCGCCATTAGCTGGTTGGCCAGGGGGGCGGGGGCGCCGGCGCGAGCAGGGGCGGCGGCGACATTTATTCCGGGGGGGGCGGTCGAGGGCGCGCGCTCAGAGCGCCGCGAGCGTCGGGCCGAAGACGGCGAGGGCGGCGCCGTCATTGACGAGTGGATACGCGCGCGCGCGAGACGGAGGACGGCGCGTCATGTGGGGGTGCGCTTCAGGTTTTTAAGAGCATTCGTAGCGCGCGTCACCCGTGCGCGCCGCGCGAGGAATGCGCGCCTCCTGCTGGCCCGTGCCAGCGTGCGCCCGCGGTGCCGCGCGGCCCTCGCTTCCGGGGCGTCGCGTTGGCTCCGTTGCGTTGCCGCGGGCAAGCGGGCGCCGCGCGCTCGCCCCGCTCGCCCCGCGCCCTGCGCCTTTCGGCCCGAGGAGGCTTCTTCGCACTTGCGGCTGCTGCGTGGCCCTGCGCGTCGAAAAGCGCGATGTCTCGGCCGGTTGCGCGAAGCCCGAGGGGCCCGGCGGGGGGGGCGTGCCTCCTGACGATGGGGGGGCAAGGGGCGCCCAGAGCAGGCCTGCGGGGGACCGCGGGGCGCAGCGGGCAAATCAGCTGGTGGCTTCGAGGCGGGGGGCGAGTAGCTCGCCCTCAACGGCGCGCAGATGATGATGCCTGTGGAACTCGCCCAGGAGGGGCGTGGGGGGGGGGGGGGGCGGGCGCGACGCGGCGCAGGCTGGCGTTCGCGCGGCAGCGGGCTTCATCGCGGCGCCGGGGAAAATGGGGAACGCCTTGCCTGTCATCAAGGACAGCCTGCGGCTCGGTCATGACGGAGGGCGAGGGGCGCGGGCCCGGAGAAGGGCCGGCAGGGGCGCCGGAAGGTCCGCGCCGGGTTGAATTCGTTGGCTCCCAGCCAGTTCAACAGCGCGATCGAGCAGGAACTCAACGTGGCGGCCATGGCCGCAGAGCAGCGGCGCTGGAGTTGCCGCCGGGCGGGGTGGCAGAGATCCGCGCCGTTGTCCACGCGGCCGCGCGCTCCGCGGGGCGGGGGGCCGTCGCGGGGGCGCCGCCGCCCCGCGCCCCCAGGGCGCCGGCTTTGGAAGTGCTTGCGCGGCAGGCAGGTCGTTGAGTAGACATTGCAGGCCTGCGTCGACGAGCGGAGCTCGGCAGCGCCCGCGCCGCCCAGTTCCTCGGGCGCCTGGGCGCCGGATAGTGGGGGGAGGGATATCTTGGGGAGCGTGGGGTGGGGTGGGGGGGGGTGGTCTTCTCGACCCGAGCCAAACTGCCACCCCGAACAATTTTATCGAACGCGCGTCGGCTTGGCCGCCGCCAACTTTAGGCGTGGGGGTGTGGTGGGGCAGGGGGTGGGGTGGGGGGGAGCATTCATTCTCAACGGCAGCAGCATGCTACAGAGACGCCTGCAATCTGTGTGATTCGTTGCTTTCCTCGCCCGAGAGCGGGGGTGACGCGCCTGGTCGCGATGGGCGCTCGCCCATATTCCTGGGAAGTCTTCCATGGGGATTGGGCCCAGAGCTGGAACAGGCCCGATAGGTATTGCAAACCATAGGGTCCTCGAGGCCCCCCCCCGAAAAGCTCAATGCGCTTGCCAGCATTAGTCAGTTCGACAACAAGTCGAGTAGCGCCTCGTCCCGATAAGAGATGAGGACTTTCAAGCTGTGGAGGCTTTTTCCTCCTGCTGTTCCTCACTCCCACCCTCCCTCTCCCATCCTCCTCTTCCTCCTCCGCTGTCCTTTCTTCCATCGAAGTTTTTCCTCCCTGTCGTGCCCCCAGGCTTGTCCGTCGTCCGGGCTGTTTTTTTCGCTGAAAACCTCCCCGCCAGTAATGATTTGCAACGGCTTTAAGGATGAGGGCGGGTGGTTTTCAAAACCCGACTCTCGCCTTAGCGTTCCGCGCATCCGCCTTAAGATGTTGAAACAGGGTCAATGATGTAGGGCGGATGGTTATCAAAACGACGTTTTCGCTGTAGCGCTGCACATTGCGCAGATTTGCGGTTCAAGTTTGCAACCGGCTTAAGAATGCAAGGCGGTTGGTTTTCACACGGTGGTTCTCGTTTTATCGCCGCGCGCATTTGTCTGACACATTTGCAGCACATTCAAGTATGGAGGGCAGTTTTTTTTGTTTTCGTTTTTTTTTTTTTTTTTTTTTTTTTTTTTTTTTTTTTTTTTTTTTTTTTTTTTTTTTTTTTTTTTTTTTTTTTTTTTTTTCAATGTGGCTCTCGCCCCAGCGTCGCGCGCAGTCGTATGAACATTTTGCAACAGTTTCAAGCATGGGGGACGGGCCGTTTTCAACATGTGACATTCGCTCTTTGCCGCGCACATGTCATGTTGCCCTCTGCGGCCGCTTCATGGAATCGTACGGTTGAAGTCCCAGGAATGGTGTTCTGGCACGGGTTGGCGTTGTCACGACGCAGAGCTTACTTTTATTCGCGGTTTTGAGATTCAAAGAACGGTGTGCTGGCACGATGTGGGAATGCCAGGGCGCAGCAATAATGTTGATT